CTCTCAAATAATACTTTTGATGATTTGTGAAAACAATTAATAGAAAAAGTAGTGATTTCGCAGAAAATAAACTCCTATTTCATTGAACCACAAGTGGTGACCCATTCCCTTAACATGTGATGAGCAGAAAAAAGTTGACAAAAAATTAAACATTTTTATGTCACAAAAGAGTTTCACTTCAAATAAAAATAAGTTTTGAACACTTAATTTCATGTGAATTGTTCGAGAGACAAATGGTGTGAAAATGTGGTTTTAATTAAATTAAAAATGTGTTTTTTTTGTAAATAAAAGTTTAACAATCTTATGGTATGAATATAAGTTATCTAATACTTGTGCTTAATAACGATAGGATTTGTAGTAAAGTTATATAAAAAAGTATATTTTGTTAATTGCTAACTTTATTTAGTTATTCAAATATTATTCCTATACTGGATTAATTGTACCTTATTTTATGTATAAAATCATACAATTTATATTAGTTGTGAATTATGTCTATTGAGTAGATTTAAGGCAAAAATAATAGCAAAAGATAGCTATTAATGTCTGGCATAGAGTGCAAGAAATGAATACAATAATTGTTAATTATTAATCTACTTTCATATGTTATAGTTTTGTATTTTATGAAATGATAGTATAATTTTTTATTATTGATTAAATTATTATTTATCGCTTTTTTGCTGAGTTTTTGTATTCATTTCTATTGAATATAATATAATTATTATCTAATAATAAATGAATACATTATTTGAATCCAAAGTTTTTATTACAAATGTTTTGTCATAAAACTGATGACAAGTCGTTGAAGAATGGCTGACCTATCATTCCCTGTGCGCCTCCACCCCCGGGTCAGTCGGACTGCCCAGACTCCCAACACCCGGATCAGTGGCCAACTGACCCGTCGGACTGTCAAATCTATTGCAATACTTTTGCACAAAATTGATTCAAATATGAATCGAAACGAACTCGAAGTGCATTCCGAAGAGTAGACAAAATCATAACTCATTTCTATATTAATACAAATGATTTATTCAATAAAAATCACTCAAAAAGAATAATTATATAATTCTCTTGAAAAACAGATATATTTTGAAGACATAAAAATATATGTATAATAAGATTATAAGAATAACATTCGCTTTGAAACATAAATTAATTTGATTTCTCATAAACAACACAATAATTGCGATTTATTTATGAATAGATTTTTGAATCCAATCTATTGTTTGCAGCGATGCGTGAGATAAGGCGGTGTTCATAGAGTGGGGAACAAACAGTCGATAACAGCCCCAAACGGCCAGTCCTATGACTGTATATTTGATGGACTTCTTCACCACTTTAGTGGTCAATGAGGTCTCAGGAATTCTGTTTCAAAGTCAACATAATTAATGTAAAACACAATTCAGAAGTCAATACAAACACATACTTGAGAAGTGGTGCAATGTCTTCATCTTTGACTTGCCCCCACTTCTTGACAATTCCGGGCACGTGTCCGATGCCTACCACTCCCACAACCACTGAGGGCCGCATACCCGACGGCGACGCCATGTTGGGGACGGGCGATGAGGCCAACCACAGGGAATACGCCAAATATGTGTCCCTCTCCTCCACAAACACGCGACTCAATGTCGGGAATTCACCCGTCATTTCAGTCAACATTTCCTATTCATTCAAAAGTC